AAGCATTTCATTACAGCTTTAACATACTCAATAACAGTTTCCAGAGCAAACCAGTTTTTTTTAACAAAGGTTGACTTACCCCGAGGGTTTGCAGGACTCCTTTTTGAAATTCATGTGATCCATCCAAGGGCTGATAAACAGAACCATCAGTCTCCTCTGGTTTTACATGACTGTGTGGTGGGGCCCCCAGCCTTGTATTATCACATTCTTGGGAGGCCATTTGTGGTTGCTTATGGCTGTTACAGACCAAAAAAAGAATCCAAAGGCTTAATGCTATTTCTTTACCACTAGTTAATATTTTTAGTGTAACAGAAGAGTTTAGTTTTTTCCATGCATCAAAATTACTCTCCATGTGTGGACCTGAGTGACAGGGCTCATTCCCTTTCTATCCTTAGACTGCTCTCTTCCTGAAGAGTATTTTCCCTACAGCATCATCTGGATAATTTCTGCTCCTTTACCAAGCTGAATCTCAAATACATCTCCTGTTGCTTCTTGGTCTGAGACAAAGATCTGACAGGAATTTTTTTCCAGCTAGCAAGGTCTCTTCTCCAGCTGACCAATCCACACCAGTTTAGATGAAACCAAGGCAAGTCCTGGAATAGCTTGGAGCTGTGATTTATGGACCAATTGTTTAAATTGACCAATCAAAAATGAAGAACGGGAGACAGGACTCACACCAGCAAAAAACATTTAAAAGGACCAAGCCCTCCTGTGGGCTTTGCATTTTCATTTCCCAATCCCTCTTCACTTGTGGAGAGCTTTCCTCTCTGGGTAAGTGTGTGGATGTCTGTGTTTCTTTAATAGGGTTTGTTACCTGCTACTTTTTGCTGTGTCTGATATTTTTTCTGCCTTTTAATTCTTTAATTGGCAGAGGAAACAAACCCGATTAAGACACCTAGATGGTAACAGTTTCGAGAAGCTCTGTTTAGCCCTGGCCAGGTCTGAATGGTGAACCCTTCCTGGTTATTCTCAGAATCTCAACTTCCCTTCCAACCCCCCTTAGTCTGGGCTTCAGTTTTCAAGGCACGTGTCTGTGTCCATCTGCTCAGCACTTTTGCTCCAGGGTATCTGTCCTATGATTGATACCCACCTAATACATATTGCTCAAACAGATGAACTTTAGATCCAGCCTAATGATAGCCATGTCTATGGAAAATAAGAGAAAATATCTGCATGCATTGAATCTCCTCATACTAAAAAAA